ATGTCTATCGATGGTTCTTTTAGCATAACAAGAGTTAAGTTCTAGGTGGGGCCTTGCATGCAATTCACCTGCTGAATCCCTAGAAGATCCAACCTGGTCAGAATACCTGCAAGAGGTCTTTTAATCCTGTATGGTCTTGCACACAGTGAATTCCTTTTTTCATGTCCTCGGTACAACACTAGCAGATAAAACAGGACGGATTGTTCCCTGTCTGCTCTTTTTCCTGCTTACTCCCCCTCAATTCCTGAGCAAAAAGGGAAGGTGTATTCCACCCTGTGCATCTTTCTAGCGGCTGTTAATCTTTCACAAATTATTTCCTATGTACAACCTGTTTTACAGTCCTTATCCATCCTCGTAGCAGCCTGCAGGGAGTTACAATTCTTCCCATTTTATAGCTGGGGAAAATGAGACTGGATTCCAAACAAAGGTGTCTTACCCAAACTATTCAGTGAGCCTGGAAACAAGGTGGGGGTTCAATCACTTTCCTTTAGACTTAGTCCAAACGTCTATTGGCTGTATCCTGCCGGCTCTTGGCCCAACAGATAATTCCACAATAAGGAGCCCTCTGACAGGTTGCAGAGGGAAAGATGTTCCATTCAGTTCTGTGTGGCTGCGATGGACAGGAATAAGAAACCTTTCTTCTCAATCAGGGGCATTTCCTTCCAATGGGACATGCAGAAACCCCACCCAGAAGCACTCCCTTTCCCCCAGTCCTTTCCCAACACTGCTGGGATCAAGTTAGCAGACAGTCCATGCTGCCGTCGCTTTCCAGGTTGCAAAATATCAGACACCCCCCCCCCAAGCACCGATCCTGCCAGAGTTCTACCACAGACACCTGACATGCCGAGAACACAATCAAGGACTGGCAGCTACTTCTCCTGGCTGTTTCAGAGGGAAGACACAGGCACACTTCTGCCCAAGTCTCAGCCCACACACTCTGTGGACAGACACAGAGAGGCAGCAACCAAAAGAGCCAGCCCAATTACTGTACCTTTGTCAAAGCTGTGATTTCTCAGCTGGAAGGAAGGGAGGCTGGTAGTGAGATCTAGGCGGCCATCTCTCTCGCTCTCCCTCTCTTTCTCCCTGCTGCTGTTGCTGCTGACGCTGTTGCTGCTGGAGGGGGGGGGGAGACACACGGGCTGCTCTCTCAACATCTATTTTAAGCCTTGGCATGTCCATGGGCAGATCTGTTTCTATCAGTAAAGGAACCAGAGAGAGACAGCCAGTCAGGTATTGTCGTGTGTAAACGCATGGCACACAAATGTACCATGCACACTGTACCGTGCACAACATGAAGAAAACATGTGTTAGTGTACACATGGGTTACAGGGCAAAATCCCCAAATCCCTCCTGCATATATATTCATTCATGCTAGGGTTGCCAGGTCTGGGTTGGAAAATACCTGGAGACTTTGGGGGTGGATCCAGGAGTGGGTGGGGTTTGGGGAGGGGCCTCAGCATGGTACAATGCCATAGAGTCCACCCTTCAAAGCAGCCATTTTCTCCAGGGGAGCTGATCTCTGTCAGCTGGAGATCAGTTGTAAAACCGGGAGATCCCCAGGCCCCACCTGGAGGCTGGCAACCCTAGCGGGTATGGCTAGTTTGTGGTCCAGAGGTCAAACCTGGTCTGAAAGGGAATTTTTAGCTAGCCCTCAGCTGTTGTATTAATCCAAAGGTGATTTTTTGGGGGGCTCACAGGTTTTTTTTAAATGAGAAAAAGTAAAGACAATGGCTTTAAAAAAATCTCTGTGTGTGTGTGGGTGTGTGACAGAAGGAGCTCTCACATTTAAATGTGGCATTTTTTCTTGGTTCTCCATGTTACAATCCCGTAAACAGTACTCTTGGAGAAACAAAGGGAGACCATGTGTATTTCATACAGTGTTTTCCTTTTGCTGTCTCATGCCACAATGGAAAGGTCAGAGTACTGCAAATCTGTCTCTTGAGGGAACTTTCTCAGAAGCGTATTATTATGTGCAGCCCAATGCTCTCAGCTGTGGGAGGTTGCAGGGACTGGTGCTTATCTGTGTTGGTTCCCTTTGGAGGAGAGACCCATGGCATTTCTGTTGTATCTTCTTTGTTTTCAAATATGCAGGAAGAGTAGATGGGGATGTTGTAATAATTCTGGACTCTGCTAGGCCATAAGCAGGCAGAGCCACCAACCAATATAACAAGTGAAAAGCCCAAATGTGCCAAGTCTTTTTTCCTTAAGGGATTATGTTAAAATAACTATACAATAATAAAACATCATACATTCACAGCTCCCCACATTATAACAAAGGTAAAGAAGCACTCCGACTGGGGGCAGGGTCAACGACACAACGATGGCAGATGTCTTTCCCAGCTCTCTGGGGAGGCGTACCGCACAGCAGCGAGGGGGAGAGGTGCAGCTGACTCTGCGCTTCCATGGGAGTTCAGAGAGAACTTCCAAGCCATAGGGCTTTGAGGGTGAGCATCTTTTCCTGCTAACGGCAGGGGAATGGAGTCTCCCCGCCGCCCTGACGGTTCCCTCGCGCTGACTGCATCCTCTTAGCGAGGCCACAAGCTGTGTCGATCCAATCAAGAATTTAGAGAGTTTTAGTATAGAGGTAAAGGCGGAAGGACTTTGCAAATTGCCTTTATGAAATGAGCTGGAGGAGATGCTCGGGAAATCTTCTCATAACAAGTAACAATCTAACATATAAGCTTAGAAAGACAGGTTCTCACAAAGTATATTGTTTATTAACCGCCTTTTCTTTTACTAACAGCATTTTAACAGGGAATGATCTCCTAACCTTGGGTTTTTAGCTTAGTGTGGGTTTTCTTTTCATTCTCCCTAAAATTGTAGTCCCCCTATCCCCATTTTTTCTTGGTAGTTTATGTAGTATTATAAAAAAATAAATAAAAAAATCCATTCCGGGGGCTTAAAAAAAAAAGAAACACTCCCACTGGACAAAAGATTTGCTTCTCCACTGTGCTGCCCCAGTCAGCATTATCTGTAGTTTAGTAAAACTGTGCTGTATCTTTAAGACTGGTTGCTCCTGGGAATTGTAGTTTGCAGTTAGGGGTCCCAGAAGCTTCCCTCTGACTGGCTCATTAAGAGCAATTTCCTGACTTTATGGATCTTTTCCATTTCTTTGTTCATCAACCCTTACGGCAAGGAGAGGGGAAGCCCATCTCTTTCTCACCGCGGCTATTGAACTAACCTAGATCACAAGATGTAACTTCCCACCCAGCTATTGTGAGTAAATGATCTTCTAATGCGTGTGAAGTTGAATAAAGATGATTTAAGCTTTCCTCAGTAGTCATGCCGTTGACTCACACCTAGAAAGTGCTGGCTAGCACAGCTTGCACTGGACAGGACATCCACACCAGATCCCCAGACAGATCTTGCATCTCCAAGGTGCTTCAGTCAACCATCAGTGTCTGTCTGCTTCTCTGTATCTCCTTGCAGCATCAAAAGACTACATGGTGCTTTCACACATGCTAAATAGCGTTGTTTCAATCCACTTCAGCGACTGTTTGCAAATGGATTTTGTCATTTCACATAGTAAAATCCAGTTGCAGAGTGCACTGAAAGTGGATTGAGAGTGTGTTATTTAGCGTGTGTGAAAGTGCCACAGAAACACACACTAGGCCCTCCTCTTCAGCTGGGGCGGTGGTGGTCATCTCTTCCAAGCTCTGAAGTGCACATCACAAAGGCAATTTCCTGACACTCAAGGACCATTAAGGAGGCATATGAAATTATCAAAACACATTACCATTGCACACCAAATAAACTGAGCCACAAGTGATCAGAGGATGAGACTAGTGTTGCCAGGCCCCCGGTCTGGGTGGGTTTCCCTCCACTTTTGTTGGTCCCTTTTTGCCATTGGCCAGTTGGCTGGTGGGGGGAAACCCCACCCAAGAATGCCCCCAAACACGATGCAATGACATCACCCAGAAGTGGTACTACCTAACTGCTTCCGGCCCTTGTGGTCCATCTGTGAGAGTTGGAAGGTGTAGGTAAGGGGCCTGTCACTGGAAGCTACACCTCAGCTGGATGTTTATGACCGCAGAACATGAACAAAGGCTTTGTAAAGCAGGGTAGTAGGGTTGCCAACTCTGGGTTGAGAAATACCAGGAGGTATGTGAAGTGGAGCCTGAGGAGCGCAGCATTTGGGGATGGGATAGACCTCAATGGGGTATAATGCCATAGAGTCTGTTATGTCCAGATCAGGGGTCTGCGGCCTCAGTCCTTAGCTTGGTTCTCTTGTTGTGAAGTACAATAAACGCATCTAGTTAGCATGTTGTAGTCCGAGTCGCCATGTGTGAACCCAGTACTTTACAGTGGCAATGAAAGTGGGAGCCTGACTCTTCATCCAGCACTGCACCGAGCATCGATCCAGTGGAAGCTGCTGCACCCTGCATCGCTCCCGAGCAGCACCGCAACGTGCACAGCACTCCTGGACACTGCTCCCCACTTTGCCAAGGAGTCATGGCAGCCGCTCCGGGACACCTCGAGGTCTTCGACCCCACACACCCCGAGTTCTGGGACTTGTGGGTAGACCAGTTAACCTGCTATCTCACCTACCTTGAGGTCACCGACGCCAGCAAGAAGCTCATGTGAGGTGGCCACCATTCAGCTAGCAAAAAACCTCCTGGCTCCCAAGGCGCTCCTAGAAAATACGTACGAGGAGATTGTTGCGGTCTTACCAAGCACTACATGCCCAAGCCCACAACTATGGCTAAATGCATGGACTTCCAAGCGCGCCTCCAGAAGCCCAGTGAGACAGCCGCCACCTTCATGGCTGCCCTTCGCCAGCATGCGATGGATTGCAGGTTCACGAAGGTGGAGGAGAACATCTTGACCCAGTTCATCTGGGGTATGGGAGACACAAACTCCGCCGCAAGCTGGTACGCACTGCCGACCTCAACATTGATGATGCTCTACAGCTCGCCACTGCCTATGAAGCCTCCCACCATGACCGTCCACCATCGGCATCACACCTCGTGTCTCCCGAAGCAGCGTCCAACAACTCAGACAAAGAGGACGTCCAGCTCGTCCGCCCCTCCAGCTGCAGGAGCCTCATGGGCTCACCCGAGTGACTGGGCACCCTGGCACGTCCGCCGGCCAAGCACTGTGTGCCAGCTGTGGAGATGCTGATGAGCGCAGATCGTGCCGTTTTCGTGACGCTACATGCCACGCGTGCAGAAAGCAGGGATACTTAGCCCACGTATGCAGGTCTAAAGGAGCTCAGACCCCGAACTCTCAGCTGCAACCATGCCACTGGGCCGCAATGCACTATGAGGCCACCATGGACACAGAGGAAGTCTACCTTCTTACGAGCCAACCTTCACTCCAGGTATTACATCTCCCAGCCAGACGGCAGCTACTAAAATACAGGTCCAGGTTCGGATAGAGGGGTCCCCCAGCTCCATGGAGTTAGACTCCAGATCTGCAGCATCCATCATTTCGGTGGAAATGCTGAAAAGACTTTGTCCGAAAGGGGCCCCCCGCCTGCGACCCTCACCCTTTAACCTGGTGGACTTTCAAAGGAACCCAGTCCTTATACGGGGCGTGGGGGCCTTCCGGGTACAGTACCGAGGGTTCGATGGCTACCTGGACTTAATAGTAGTCGAAGGGAACCTGGTCAGCCTCCTGGGTCAGGCTTGGTTCGCTCCGCTGGGAATCACAACCGGAGGGATCAAACAATGCACCCCAAAAGACTTTAGCAAGGTTTGCGGAAAATTCCTCATGGTGTTTGATGGGGCTTTGGGATGTTACAAGGGGCCCCTGATTTCACTACAACTTGACCCCAAGGTGGCCCCCATCCGCATGCAGTTTCGACGTGCCCTGCAGCCTAAAATTGATGCGGAACTGGACCGCTTGGTGGTGCAAGAGGTTCTGGAACCGGTCTCACATGTGTCGTGGGAGACCCCCATTGCCACCCCCGTGAAGCCCAATGGTGATGTCTGCATCTGCAAGGACACCTTGAACAGGGCTCTACAGGACCATTCCTACCTGGTCCCAGTTGTGAGTCACGTGTGTTGGCCACCTTAGCAGGGGCCAAAATCTTTGGCAAGTTGGACCTCGCACAAGTGTACCAACAACTGCCAGTGGACGATGCCACAGCCACCGCCCAGACCATA